AATTCACTGCGCCACATCCAGTGGGAAATTTTTTTGGTCAAAAATGTACAATGATGTATATTTATTATTATGTGTATTTATAATATGATTAGATAGTCATTATATTTATAAATTTACAATATTTTAGGAGGTTATACTAGCTCTAGAAAATCTATAGAACCATTTCTGTGATTTCCTTCTGATATTTTTACATTCAGTCTCAACCTCAACCCTCCAATTGTCCCAATCATCTTCGGTTAAGTTTCTAACGGTCTTCGTGTCCATAGGATACCAATAAATCCCCCAATCCCTTAATTTTTCGGGATCCAAGTTCATGTCAGAAGCGATTTCTTCCGCCATATAACTTGAGCGTAATCGTATTTCCTGCAAGGATAATGTGGTTTGATACGACCATTTCGTCATTTCATTCTTAAATTCCCATTCATGACGCTCTATCAAGCTCATGTAACGTTCTAACTTTGCTTTTTGTTGCATCATCCAAACCGATAATAAATCGGATTCCAATGCTAACGAATAATCCGATTGCGCTGTCGGTATATGATCCTTCCAATATATTTTGTAATCACAAGGTGATGTGTATGGAAGTCCACATAATGCATCCTTTGCCATGTTATAATTCTTTATTAAATTATATTCACTGAAAAGAAAAAAAAGAAAAAAAGGTAGAAAACTCATATTAATAAACCTTCTTTTTTTTTTTTTTTTCTTTAGAGATCAAAAAGTTCAAAAATACCTGATGGTGTGTTGGTGAAAACAATCATCACAACATCGAACTTGAAATGACCAAAAGATTTGAGATGGCTTTTTACGATCACGACAAAATTGACATCTTATAGCTATGTTTGTCATTAGAATGTAAGTTCTCTCATCCATGTCATCAGGACAGGCCGAACCGTGAGGTGGAGGTGGTGGTGGAGGTAAGGAGGGATATGATAAGAAGGTCAACCTTGACTTTCGCCATATGGATTGCGTGGCTGATGAATTTGTAGAGCATAATAAATTCCTAAAGTAACGAGAAACTTGCGACAATGAAAATAAATCATCGGGTGTAAGTGGTTCACATATCGTGATAAATAGCTCTGGCGGTATTATTGAGGTTGCTGGTGGTCTTGATGGTTTCGTCGAGTCAGTTGTTGGAGGTGGCCTAGGTTTACGTTGTTGTGGTGGATTAGTTCCAATTATTTTACCTCCCATCGTTTGAACGTTTTTATTTGAAATGAAAGTTAAGAGAGAGAGGAAAAAAAAAAAAATGGAATAAAAATATATGGTGAAAAGATGCCTATGAATAAGTCAAAATGAGTTGAAAAATGAGACGGGGACCGATTTTTATACATCACTAAAAACAATCTGCAATTATGCGTGTAACCCGAGCATTTGTGTCCAAAAAGATAAAACAAGAAAGTAACCACTCATTTCATAACTTTAATTAACACAACAATTACCATTTATAAATCATTTTGTTATCGAAAATTGGTAAATATGGGGAAATAAAATTTAATTTATTCAAAGTGTTAATTTTTTTTTTTTTTTAATCAACGAGATTCACGTATCAAAAAGGTATTATAATGAAACGTAACAAGACTTTTCTTTTCTTTTTACTTTTGATCAAAGGATTGAATAAGTTTGATATATCGGAAAAAGAATATTACTACGTGAAAGCGGTCTGTGATTTACGTAAATT